GCATCACCAACAAAGAGGCATTGGGTTGGTGTGAAGAACATTTTCAGATATCTTCAAGGCACCAAAGATCTTGGTTTATTCTATCGGAAAAATCAAGATAAGACCATTGTGGGATATTGTGATGCTGGATACCTATCTAATCCCCATAATGTCAGATCACAGACTGGTTTTGTCTTCTTGAGTGAAGGTATGGCCTTTTCTTGGAAGTCAACAAAACAAACTCTGATGGCTACGTCCACGAATCATTCTAATATTATTGCTTTGTTTGAAGCATCATATGAATGTGCATGGCTTCACAAAATGATTAACTTTATTGAAAGTTCAAGTGGGATTGGATCATTGGAATCACCCACTATTATCTATGAAGATAATGTTGCATGTATTACAAAGATGGAGACAGGTTATATAAAGAGTAATATTACAATGTATATTTCTCCTAAATTATTTTATCCCCATGAGTTACAGGAAACTGGGGAGATAAATATTTTTCAAACGAAGTCATGTGACAATCTTGCCCATATGTTTACAAAGTCATTACCAAGTTCTTTATTTGAGAAGTAAATCAATGGAATTGGTATGAAACGACTTCGGGACTTGCAAAGTTCAGGGGGAGTGTCTCTCTAAATGATAATCTGTTTGTGATCCTCGGATCTTTGATATTGCACTCTTTTCCTTTATAAGTTTTTCCTAAATGGTTTCTTATGGAAGGTTTTTAATAAGGCAATAGTAATGCAGGCATTGTGATATGTCAGTTTCTCCTTATTTTTTCACTGGGTTTTTGGAAGAAGTTTTTGATGACATATTGTATATACCTCCTCATATTTTTCCTACAGAGTTTTTGGAGGAGACTGATCATGATGATGATGACCAAGATGTTGATGATAATGTTTACAAGAATAATTGGAGCAGAGATTAGGGGGAGTGTTAGGATTAATTAATTGGTTTAACTAATGGAAATCTCTGTTAGCAAACCAACATGTGGTTTTCTCTCCCGATGGGTCACGTCCTATTATAACGGACACGCCCGTCGATCCCATCTCTTGTAAAACGCCGTGCCTGTGCGATGTGTCTCTTCTAGAGATATAAATATGTACATCATCGACATCAATCAACAGCGATCATTACTGTTCATCGCACTGTTTCTTTACAGAACGAACCATGATCTGTCTCTGGTCCAAGTAGCAATAAAAAAATTAAATGATTATATATATACATTATTAAGTTGGCATATCTGAGACTTTCATTCAGCAACAAGAGAGATTTCTGTAGAGGTTTTATTGAGAGAAGAATTTGTAGAGTTAGCTTAGAGGCATACGGTACAGAACGTATTTCATACGGTATGGAAGCCGAAACTAATAGACACGGGACACAAAAGCCTGGTTTCATGGCTACTATCCGGTAAGCCCAAACCCAAAAGAGGAAAGTGAATGCGTGCTCTTTGCTATCTAAGAGCATCTCTAGTACATCCCTTAAAGCCGCGACCTTTATACCGCGGATAAAGTCTGAGATTTCCGTTGTTTGAGGGGCGAAATCGACTGCGGGCGAACAGAGTCCTCAATTGAAACGGTAAAATTTGAAGAAAAAAAATGTTTTTCGGACGAAATGAAGAACACAATGCTAAATAGATAGATTCTTCATCGATACATTGCAAACGTATTGTACATCGCAATGGCGGCCTACCCAGAAGAAGCCAAAAACGGAGCTCTCCAGGTACAGCCGGGACCTCGAGCCTGCGGTTGGTGTACCATCGGGCCGAGCGCTTCCGCACCGCATCGGCGGCAACGCAACGCTTGCGCTCCGGGTCTTCATCATCGTCGTCGCCGCCGTCGGGAGAAGCACCTCCGCTGCCGCTGGACCACATCCCGCGCCACATCTGGGCACGGCGGTGGTAGATATGGCGACGGCGTGGCGAAATCAGCGCGGATTCATTCTCGGCGGCGATTAATAGTGGTGGAATTTCGCGAGTCGCGACAGCGGCGGCGGATCTGGCGGTGGCGTGGCAAAATTAGCGCGGATTCATTGCTGGCGGCGATTAATAGTGGTGGAATTTCGCGAGTCGCGGCGGTCGTGGTAAAAGGGTTGCGGCCCCTATCACGCCCGCGGAGCGGTAAAAATAGCGGTCCAGCGGTTGGATTTTAGGGGCATTGTAAAAAACAGTACGCGTTTGCGTCCGATAAGGAGTCTAGTCGGGTCGTTTTTTGCTCACGGAACTGTAGAACCGCGAAAATTTTAAGGATCAGCGTGTTATAGGGGCTCTACTAGGTTTCTGTCTATTGTTGGGGCATGTCGGTCGAGCTTGGCCTAGACCCATGGTTGGCCACTTGGTGATCTGGACTCTAGGCCGCGGCCCTGGTGGTGGGAACGGTGGTGCTGATGGGCTGAGCTCGCGGCTCAGGTGTGGGCCAGTCTCCATGGCCGCGTGGATGGCATGATGGCTGGTGCTTGTCGATCGATGACTGTGACGCAAGCTAATCAGAGGAAAAGTGTCCTTACCAAGGTGAAAGCCCTACATGGCATTCCCGGGCCAACGAAGGTGGCGCCCATGGATGTCGCCTTCTTCTTCAAGGCTCCCTTGTGGTTGCTCCTAGTCCTCCAAGGTGCACTGGATGAAAATCTTGGTCCTTTGGATCCGAATTTGATGGCACTTCAGTGGCGTATCCTTCTTGAAGGCACTGCCTTGTGGCTGATAGATCGACGGCTTGCAGCTTAGTCTCTTCTCAGCTTAGTCTCCCGGTTGAGTTCTTCATCGACTTCCTAGTGACGCGTAGTGTATATCTATTGTTTACTTGGAGTTGTTTTTGGTTTGTCGACTACTTCTTAGCACCATTGTATCTTGCCTTTGGTGCGTAGGGTATGTTGTATGACTGGTTGTAATTTGGTCCGTGCTTTAAATACAAAGCGGGACGACAGCCTTTTTTCGGTAAATAAAATTTAAGCAAAGGTAAGTCTGAGAGTGCTGCTGTCAATGATAACCTTGGTTTTGAGCAAGGATGGAATAGCATATCACAGTCTTCCATTTATCATTTTTTTTATTAAATCGCACTAATAAAAGTGCAAGTACTTTTTAAAGAACATAGAAATGTCTTAAAACATGAACACCTTTATATTCTACATAAGTTTTTTGTTAAAAATGTGAACATTTTTAAAATTATATGAACATTTATTTTGAATTTTTAAATTATGTTAATATTTTTATTAATACTTAAAAACTTTCCAAAACTACATAAATAATTTTATATTTCATCTATATTTTTTATTAATACGATTTTTTTTAAATAATACATAAATAATTTTTAAAACTACATGTGACTGAAATTATTCATGAATAGTTCTTGAGTCATGTGAATTTCTTAAATTACGTAGTAATTTTGTAAATATTATTTAAATGTTCATAATTATTAGATGTCTTTAATTAGGTAATTTTGAAAAATTACACATTTTTAATTCAATATATTTCATAAATGTACACCAAGTGTCGTCAGGAAGGGTGTTTAGGACGCCCGCAGCCCTTGCATTATGTCTTCAGTTCGAGCTCCCACGCGTGCCGTTTTTCTAGCCTAATTTATTTACATTGCAGACTGACCGATGGGACCCACCGGGGCTATGTACGAAGTTAAATAAATCTGAGGGTGTTTCTGTAAAAAAACATGTGTGCATTGCTCCTTAGCCGCTACCAGCCGCCGACAGTGGGCCCTAGCCAAGTTGGCTTGCCACACAAGAGCCGGATACACCCGCATACAAAGATGTGACCGTATTTGCATGCCCGCACAAGTTAGATGACTGCAAGTCTGTAATCACGTTTTTTACAAGTTTATGCTACAAACTGATCACTGAGCGCAAGTTTTAAGACCCTGGTGTTTTTATCTATCATAAAAAATGACTATTTAACATACATCATACCGTTTAGGCAGTCTTAGCTAACCAGTAGCTATGGGATCGTCAAGTCAAGTAAACCCTTCCTCGTATGTGCCCATGAACCTGGCCTAGAACCAACTCGAATGTGAGTACCTTTGACCGTACGTAGATTACACTCATTACTTGATTCCTTTTTTCAAAAGGAATCCAAGGTACGAACTTTTACCGGCCTAGAGCATTATTGAATGAATAGCATGCAGCTTCTCGGAGATCCATAGATGTGCTTTCCAAGCAATAATGTGCCGTGCTGCGTGCTACTACGCGGCGTGTACGCGGAGAGTGCACCGGACGAGTGCAGTGTGGTGCAGTCAAACGGACGAGCGCAATGTGGTGCAGTCAAAAAGTTGAGTATCTCTATCTTGGTTTATTGGTCCTCTTCGTATTTTATGTCAAAGTTTGATCATAATTTAACTATTAAAATGTTAATTCATGTCATGAAAAATTATGTCATTGAATTCATAGTTAAACATAGTTTCTGATGATATTATTTTTGCTACGTATAATTTTTATATTATTTGTTAAAATACGGTACACTTTGACGAACTCTGAAAAAAAAACACCAGCAAAAACACATCAAGTATACACAATTAGTACTCCCTCCATTTCTAAATATAAGTTTTTTAGATATTCCAATTGGGATAACGTAAAGCTGTATACAAACACATTTTATAGTGTAGATTCACTTATTTTACTCCATTCGAAATCTCTAAAAGAATTGTATTTAGGACCGGAGAGAGTACTAGTAGCTTTCGTGAAAAAGGTAAACCCATGCCGAATTTGACTTGAGGGTGGAAAAAGGTTACACAAGGATATGTGAATGCACATCGACTAACACCTGTGGACGTACATCATTTACACCTTTCTTGTACGTACTTAGTACTAGTAGCTTGTGTGGAAAAGGTAAATCCACGGTGAACTTGAAGGTGGAAAAATGTTACGTCAGTGCAGTCCTAATTTGCAACTATGTGCTGCAAGTCCGCAAAGAAGAAAAAGAATGAAGAAAAAAATATAAAGAACTCTATACAAGTACTACTAATCAACATAAGCTAGCCGTGCGTACATGCACCATGTCTTGCACCGACCGTCTAACACTCTGTTCTTCGATGCCCGTGCGCCACTGGAGACTCGCCGACACTCCCGCTCATCCTGGAGTTGGAGCCGGCATCATCGGAGTATGCGCCCTGCTTGGAATTGGAACTGAAATTTGGGATGGAGAGAACAAGCTCCTTGACATCAGAGCTCGACGACCGAAGGTGCGCGAGGATCTTGCTAAACTTGGGCCTTCGCCATGTGATGGCGATGGATACGTCGTTGGGGAAGAGGTCCTTGCGCACGAAGGTATGGTACATGGTGGTGGCTAGGACGCTGGTGACTGTGACAACAGCGATTCCTGACAATCCGACTGCCAGTGCCCGTGTCAGCATGTTGTCTACCTCTGATGCATACAACACTGTCGCCAAGGCCACACTCGTCATCGGGAATGTGTATGCCCACCATGACAGGGAGAACCTAAACCCCCGGAAGAGGTTGACGCGTACCACCAGCGACACATAGAGGAATAGTGAGACAAAGTAAAGGAGCTTAGCACCATTGTTGAACTCGCCAGAGATCCTTGTCCACGCCATGGATGCAACGCTAGGTGCGGCAACGAAAAGGAAGAACACTGGGTGGAGCTCCTTGGGGAGTTGCACGTTGGTCGGGAGCCGCTGATAGAGAGTGACGAAGAGCACGACATAGTGGGCCAACCCGACAGCAAAGAAGAAGATGGGCAGCTCTCGGAGTCCCATCCTGGCGCCTAGCAGCGCACCGACGAAGTTGCCGACGACGGCAAGGTGGTTGGATGGGTTAGCCACCTTAGAGAGGCGTCGCTCGCCGCTAGACATCCATTGTCCGTAGATTTTAAGGTCGAGGCACAAGATGGGAGCCATGAGCACATACCAGACGGCGTGGTGGATCTCCCACACCGGATGTGGCAAACCCTTGACGAGGAAGAGGCAGGCGATCCATGGCGCGAAGAAGAAGTTGACGCGCACCGGGTGATGGAACTCACGGCGGACGGCCTCGAAGTAGAAGACGATCTTCAAGAGGTAGGTGATTGAGACGACCCCCATGAGTGCGACGGAGACCCACCAGAGGACGTGGTTGACGACCGGGTGCACGTGAAGAAACTTGGTGGAAGGCTCCGTCTGCAGGGTCTTCCAGAGCATGGCCTGGCTGCTCACGCCAAGGCACATCCCAAAGGCGCTGATGGGGAACCGGAGCAGGAACGGCCATGTCTCGTCCTTAGGAAGCACCGCCACCTCTGTCGACTGCATGTTCATGAGGTCATTAGACACAAAGAATGTAATGGTGAAAAATTTTCTAGAGCTCCTCTGAGATCGGTGTACGTGACACGGTTACGTGGTACGTACACGAAGGGTCTCAAGCTCGGGGCCTTCGAGCGCGGCGAAGTAGCGGTCGGCAGTGGGCACTTCATCGTCCTCGTCTGTGTCCTCCTCTGAGATCTTTGACGCTGCACCTTGTTCGACGTCGATATCCTGTGGCACCCCGCGGAGGCTGGAGAGCTGGCGCTCAAGGCGGCCAGAGAACGTCTTGAAGTGGTCAAACCGCCGGTCTCGCTCCCGCGTGCTGTCGCTCCGCAGCACCGTCGGCACCTCGCCGCCGACTCTGACCACCAAGGACGGCTGCGAGTGGTGCCGGGCCTGCTTCAGCAGCTGCGGCACGGCTGGACTCTGACCTCCCTGGACGCCATGCTATCTACTCTCTCTTTCTCTCTGTGCTGTGCTGAAGACGCGTGAGCAGCCAGCAAGCTCCTCAAGACGCGTGCGAGTTGGCGGCGACTGGCGAGTGAATGTATGTGCTTTGCAGCGTGGGTGTGGCTAGCTTATATACACACGGCCCGAGTGGAGGGCGCATGCGCGGCTAGCCAACTGATGGATCGACCGACCGACCGACCGGTGCTAGTGCCGCCGGCGGGAGGGCCGCTCAGGTCAGCGGCGCCGGCACGCACGTGGACGAGAGAACACGAAGGTTCCAAGCATCACCGCCAGGCCGCACCGCACCTCGAAAAGCTACAGCTACAGATATAGCGCGCGTCACCGTCAGCGTGCACTCATCGGCAGCAGCGGTCGCGCCGTAGTAGTATCTCAGAATGCGACGCCACCCCCGTCGTCGTCTTCACGTCCTCGGCCACCGATCGATCGGCGGCCGAAGGAGACGAAATTCTTTGTGTGACACAGTGACAGGCCATGGATGGACTTTGACAGACGATGTGATGGAGAGAGCTCGATCGAACGAACATGTCTTGTGTGTTGGGGTGAGCCGGCAAGTGTGGATCGGCGTGGATAGATATTTCTGAGTCTGTTTCTACTTGAATAATATTATAGCTGTATCAATTTGACTTAAATAATAGTTATACTAGGAGTATGACTGATTAGATTGGTCCAACGAAATCGTGCATACATGGGGCCTAGGTCGTCCTCAAACGAGTAACACGTTATTTTTATAGAATTATAGGTGTATATTAGTTTTCTCGAGATAATGGAAGCTTTTCCGTTAATCATATAAATGCAATTGACTAAAGTTGGTGTGGGTGGTGGGCATGCTGAAGTGTACCATGCAGTCTTAATGAAAATAAACTGAAATGTTATACTCTCTCCGTTCGATAATGTAGTACAGGTAGATTTTTTGAAAAATCAAACCACATAAACTTTGATCAAGTTTGTGGATAAAACATTCACATCATTAGACTTATAATAAGACATAGTTTCGTATTTTTATATATTTTGTATTGTAGATATAAATAGTTCTCTCTAGAAACTTGATCAAAGTTTGTAAAGTTCGACTTTTTTAAAAATATATATGCACTACATTATGAATGAAGGGACTATATATTTGTAATTTTTGAAGGAGCGGTAACTAGTATAATGATCATAAGTGCAAGTGTCCCCCATCCATGCCCTTCACTGCATTTCCTTTGATCGGCACATCACATCTCCGACCTGTGAGATCGAGTTGTGGTTGTATATCTCCATGACTGCTCGGTACTTTGAGGGACTCCATCTCCTGGCATTGTAATATGTCATGACCTTGTTTTGCGACATCAGCTTACCTCATTCGGTCTAATGAATCTACACCCCTTTTTGTTAGCAAATTTTGATCCGCTCAGGCAACCAATATTTCATGACCTTGTTTTGGGGCTTGAACTTACCTCATCCAGTCTAGTGTATCTACACCCCTTTCTGCTATCAAAGTTTGATCGACTCAAGCAACTGATATTTTGTGACCTTGTTTTGCGACTTAAGCTTACCTCATTCAGTCTAATGGCTCTACACCCCTTTCTGCTGGCAAAATTTGGTCGGCTCAAGCAACTGATACGTCGGGACCTTGTTTTGCGGCCTCAACTTATCACATTCAGTCTAATGGATCTACGCCCCTTTCTACTATCAACATTTCGTCGGCTCAAGCAACCCTTATTTCGTGACGTTGTTTTGCGGCCTCAACTTATCACATTCAGTCTAATGGATCTACGCGCCTTTCTGCTGTCAAAATTTGATTAGCTCAAGCAACCCATATTTTGTGACATTGTTTTGCGGCTTAAGCTTGCCTCATTCAGTCTAATGGGTCTACACCCCTTTCTGCGAGCAAAATTTGATCGGCCGAAGCAACTGATACTTTGTGACCTTGTTTTGCGGCTTCAGCTTATCTCATTCACTCTAATGGATCCAGACCCTTTTCTGCTATCAAAATTTGATTGGCTCCAGCAACCGATATTTCGCGACCTTATTCTGCAGCTTAAGCTTGTCTCATTCAGTCTAATGGGTCTACACCCCTTTCTGCTAGCAAAATTTGATCGGCTCAAGCAACCGATATTTCATGACCTTGTTTTGCGGGTCCAGGTTACCTCATTCAGTCTAATAATGGGTATACACCTTTTTATTCTAGCAAAATTTGATCGGCTCAAGCAAAACCAAAAGTGTCAGTACTTCGCTTGCTCGATGTGTGTCGTAGAGAGAATAAGCCAAATCTTTTATTGACTACAAGAAGGAACGGTCCGCATTTGTGAGCATCTATGTTCGTATTTATTTCTTGAAAAAAAATTGGTAAGCGAGGACAAAACGCCAAAAAAAGTGGCTCGGGAAGGAGAGCGTTAATTAGTTGTCCCAATCAACCTTAGTGAGTTGCCTTTGATAGCTATACTCACTTTTTTTAGTACTTTTTCTACTAATAACAAGTTAACCGAATGCCGAAACAGGCTTGGAAATTGATGGGGAAAAGTACATCGATGGAACTCAAAGAAGCTGCAAGCGATTCATTCCTTTCGGGAGAAGGGAGGAATCTATCTATGTGCACCGTTGTGCGTGCTACGCGGCGTGTACGCGGAGAGTGCACCGGACGGCACTTCATGCGGCGCAGTCATAAAAGTTGTGCCCCGCTGCCTCTGACGTCGTGCCGGCCCGGAAGATCGGTCTCAATCGATCAATGGTACGTGTGGCTGTCCTCTTGGTCCTCCGGCTCGTGACCTTGACCGACGCGAGCCAAAGTAGCTAGCAGCCCGGCCACAACATACTCCACCATGCATGCAAAGTGCCGTGGTGCACACCAGGAGCCCACACTGCACACTGTGCGAAGGAAATCAGTGGAAATTGCAAGTCGTTTGTATGCAATGAATTGTTGGACCAAGACTGATCGGTCATCATGTAGAGGTTGCTTCCTTGTCTCAAAAAAATAAAAATAAAATGTAGAGGTTGCTTCCACGAATCCCCCTGTATGGCTACATGCCTACCGTACTCAGGGCCGGTCCTCGGCACGTGCTATAGGTGTGGTGGCACAGGCCCTCCCGAAGACCAAGGGCCCTCATACAGGAGTAAAGCTACATGTTCGAAGCGTTTGTTCTGGTTTATGGATTGATCCAACGTGGAATTCTATCGTTGGGCGTCAGATGGGAAAATCGGCCCATCCCTTGAAATTTAGGGGACAAGTTTAGTTAGTTAGAAGGAGCCCCTAGGATCCCCATAATGAAACACATGTCTAGCTTTTTTGCCCAGGTACTCCCTCTGTTTCTTTTAAGTCCACACATAAAATTTGTCTGAAGTAAAACTTCATAAAATTCGACCAACTTTATAATAAAAAATCCAACATGAACAATACGAAATCAATATCATTAGATTTATCATGAAATTATTTTCTAACTATAACTTTAGTAGTATTATAGATGTAGATATTCTTTAATATAAATTTGGTCAAAGTTTACGTAGCTTGACTTCAAACATATCTTATTTGCAGAGTAAAAAGAAACCGGAAGTACATGAATGAATACTAACACCTTACACACACATTTCAATGCAATACAGCCCACGGCTCAGTTCCCAACATTGCACACTGAAACCTAGTAAACACAAACTAGGAATGGCCCATGATGATAGGAATAATAAACAATACCCCATGTCAAAAGGAAATTAAAATGAGACCAAGAACTGTACCATGAAAAGGAACCAAGTTGTGCCATAGCACCTTAAGCATCGGCCGAACAAGCTCTAGTAGCTAGGCCCGGCGATACCCTCCGGCGGCAGCGGGAAAGGGGGAGGGGGGAGGAACACTCGTGGCGGATGGCTAGGGTTTTCTCCTGGGCCGCCCTACGTGTGTGGGTACGTCAGCTTGATAAATGTTGGCCGATAGTTTTGATCTCTACCTCCCTCTGTGTGTCCCCGAATTTGTTGCACATGCATGTGTACTATAATCACGCCCATGTACACACAGAGCCGCACTTTCAATACTAACTTCATTGGACGTACATGAAAAATGAGACCATCTACAACTAGCTTCTCAAGGTATATTTTTATAGAAAAAAAAACTATAAAATCACCTGCCATTCAGGGCTCAAGCAAGGGTGGGCTAGCTCGCTCCTTGCGGGCCTAGTTTGTTAGGGCTTTTGAAGGTATATTTTGTTCTTACAGTACTGTACGTACATCATGGGCCATGTTTATTAGGGCTTTTACTTCTGATTTTACAGATTTTCCATTTTGGCAAAAAAAAAAAACCACAAAAGCTTCGAAATAGGTTTTATTTTTTACTTCGGCTTTTGGCTTATGAATCAATATTGTTAGGACCGGCAGCAAGGTCGTTGTTGAGTTTTCACCCAGATCTATGCAACCACTCCAACTTCATCCAAAAGTTGTGAGCTTACATAGGGTAGCCGTAGCTGGCCGGCCCGTGCCGCCAAGCGCAAAGCTGGACGGGCAGACAAGCAGCATGTCACCCTTACGTATCAAAAG